CATATGGTGTCCATGTCCACTTGTAAGCTAGTGTGCTTCACCCCAGTGACGGCTAGCCCCAGAGGTCCAAACCATGCCAATCCCAGCAAGCTAACGTAGGGGCCCTTGACCACAAGCAAGTCCAGTTGCCATGTCCGCCCTCAATATTGCACCCTGAAGGTCCCCACCCCCATTGTGGGGACCTTACGTTTCTGGAAGTCCCGGAGGGTGAATGCGACTGGCCTGAGTTTGGGACCCCCACTAGGGCACAGTTTCCTTAAGGTCCTTGCCAAGATTATGGATAGAGTTGAACCCGTGCCAAGTTCCATGTGGCACGGGGCCCCCTCTATCTGTACCTCTACATAAATTTTCTCTAGGCTGGGGTGGGGCAACTGGTATACCTGGCAGTCCATGATCTCCGTCGAGTTGCTTTGGTGTGTTGGGCCCCAGGGCCTGGGGCTCTTGGAATGGTCATCTGAGGCCTGGCATCGGGTGGGCCGAGCCCGACACCCAGGCGATGTGTCCCGATTTCCTGCACTGCTTGCACTCTGTGTTGCGGAAACGGCAGGTCCTCCTCTCGTGACTCTCCCCGCAGCTTGCACAGTTCCCTCCTTCTCGTCGAGGCAGCTGTGGTCTGTGCGCTGCTTGAGTGCGCCACTGTAGTCGGTGTACCTCCTCCCTGTCAGATCCTGAGTCGTAGGCGAGGTATTTGTGGTGAACCCTCGGTTGGGACGGCAGGCTCGGACGTGCCTCTTGCGTTGACCTCTCGGTCAACCTTCTGTTGCCAGGGCCTCCTCCAGCACGACCTGGAACGTTAGGTCCTTCTTGGCGAAGAGGCATCGTTACAGCTTCTCATCTTTCAGGCCACCGACAAGGCGGTCACGAAGCATGTTCTCCAGCACTGAGAAGTTGCAAAACCGGGCAGCTTGGCGGAGGGAGGTCACAAACCCAGTTATGGTTTCCCCAGGGGCTTGCCGCTTTGCATAGAAGGCATTTCGATGAGCCACCACCAAGGGTTGCGGCGAAAAGTGCCCCTTCAGCCGTTCCATTATTGTTTTGTAAGGAACGGTAGCAACGTCTTCAGGAGCAAGGAGAGCCCAGGTGTGCTGGTCCCGGGGTGGGGGGTTACCGTGAGGGGTGGTCAGAGTCCGGTCCTGGGCCGAGGGTCTGGAGACTGTCCACCACGGGTGAAGCGGGGTCCAAAGCAAGAAGCCGGGCGTGGTCGGGAACTCTGGGAAAAACAGGTCTGGGTGCTGGCAGAAACAGGTTTCCAACATCGTTGCTCCCGCAACCTGGTACCGGGCTGACTGGCCTTTATCTTCTCTGAGGCCAGGGGTGGTCCCGGCCCACAGGTGACCGGCCTCTCCTGACCTTAAGGTGAGCACTCCTCCTGAGAGAACCCAGTTCCCTCCGCCTCTCTGCCCTGAGCCTCTGCAGCTCAGGAGAGGCTGGAGGGTTACTGGACCCAGGGGGAGGGTTACTGGACCCAGGGGGAGGGTTACTGGACCCAGGGGGAGGCTCACCTTCCCCTGACAGGGCTGGGAGAGGTGCACCTGTAGGCAATAGGTCGTCAATCACCTCCGGAGCCAGAGTGGATTCATCTGGTGTCTGCTTCTGAGGATCCGGCACAGGTGCAGGCCCTTCAGATTCAAGGCCCTGCCCCGGCTCAGCCGGCCCTGGAGGCGGGGACTCCTGTGCAGGCTGGGACTCCTCAGGTTCAGATTCTGAATCAGATTCCCAGGCCATCACACCAGGTGATTTCAAACGTCTCCTCTCCGCAGACGCTGAAGAATATCGCCCTCTTCTTGGCATCTTCTTCATTGGTGACCCCTTTGGCTTCTAGGAGGAAGGTGAAACGGGAGGCGTACGCTTCCCAGTTTCTGGATGCTGGGTTGAACAGTGAGAAGCTGCTGTCGGTTGCCATTCTGAGTTCCTTGGGTCCCAGAGCTGAAGCCTGGATACACGGTGCGAGGCAGCGGTAAGGCAGGTGGTGGTGCTGCGGTGCTGTGTGTGGCGGTCAGCTCAGCGGGATCCCATCCTCGTCGCCAGTGAAATATACTCAGAGTCGAGTGTGGATTTCATGCTCTTTATTCAGCTCATAGTAGTGAGGAATGAAAGTTCCGCTAAAATATCTGCTTTATGTACATTATTTACACAATGGGCCGCGCATGATTGGCTAATTCCTGGATTCTCCTGTAGGCCAATCAGGTTGCGGATTCACTTCCACCTGGAGCTGGATTGGGTGGCTCCTGCTGACCAATTATACTGCTGCATTGTTCTAGGACCAATCAGACTGCTACATTTGGATCCTATTCAACTCAGTACATAACACAGCCAGATTGGCTGGCTGTGACCGTGACGTGAGGCCAGGACTCCCCAATGGCACAGGGGCAAGACAGGCCCCCGCTAAGCACGGGCGCCAGCCTGCAACCCCGCCCTCCTGTGAAGGAGAGTGGCTTCCTCACCCACTGAAGTAGTATAGCCCAGCCACAGGTTCACCCCCTGAGTAAAAATAAAACCTGGGAGCCCAGCCTTAGATGGAGGCATCACAATGATAAAGAAAAGGGAGACCACTCATTTTCCATCTTGCGCAAGACTAAATTCTGTCTGTCTCCATTTCCAGCATGGAAATGGAGGAAACCACTGCCCCACCACCATGACCTGGTTTCATGGATATTTTAAGAAAAATCTGCACAAATCCTTAAAAAAACCTGCATATAACTTAATTGTTCGGTTTTTACTTTAAAAGAATATAACAGTTACAAGGTGATCTAAGGGATGTCCTCCCCCCACTTGTCTCTGCCCAGATCCCTCAGGGCCCCAGACCTCTCCAAAGCCCCATGAGCCTGTTAGGATATAGTTCCGTTCCACCTTAAATGGTCAGACATGATTGTTGTTTGTCACATGCCTGTTTACTCCCAGCACTGTGTCGCTGGGAACTTCCGTTTTGTATATAGCTTTTGTTTTGGCTGTTTTCCTGGACACGGATGCAAGCAGTCATGTTTTTCCTTTGTTCTGATCTACGTTGAATAAAGCTGTAAATATGCTCTCCTGGCTGAATCTTCCGTTGTGGAAACTCTGCAGAAAGGGTGTGCACGAGTCTTGGAATGTGTCTGAGGCTCGTGTCGCTAATTGACTGATGCTGTTCTACGGGAGACCGGAGATCATCCAGAGACAATGTGGAGGCCTGCCTGATGCCTCTGTCTCCCTGGAAGTATCCGAACAGAGCCATCAACCACAGTCTCTTATCAACCCCACTATTACTCAGACTATCTTGGCTGGTTGCTGGTTGAGTTGATGATGAGCAAGAGGCCAGTTCAACTGCTTCTTTCGTGCTCTTGTTTTAGTCCAAAAATTGAATTTCCCTTGGTTCTAAGGGGGTGGCTAGCTCATGGGGCTCCTGCCACTGTGTGCATGGAAACAGTGAAAATGTAGCCATAAAGTCCCTCATTACATTGTCTCAAGTCTAAAAGTTATTTTTCAAACAGTACCCCAATACAACTAAGAATATCACAGAATTGTAGAGTTGGAGGGTACCCCAACGGTCATCTAGTCCAACCCCATGCAAGGCAGGATATGTTTCAAAACAACACCTGAAATCTGAGGCAGAGACTTTTCACCCATTTAGGGGGAAAAATGCCTTCCATTGTTCCTGGAAAGTACAAATAGTGGGCACCTGTCGTATTTCACTGGAGATGCTGCTCCAAAAAAGAAGGGCCATTGTGCTGAAAGCCTTGCTCCGAGTTACTTATCTGGGTGGGCATGTAGCTGTTGCTGAAGCTGAGTCCATTCTGTGGGGCTGGTTCATCGTTTAGGCCTTGTAACATGTGCTTTTAAAACAAACAAAAAAAGCAACCTAAGAAGAATCTATCCCTGTAACATTTATCATCATTTCTGCTTCCTGGCTAATGAACACCTAAAGTGATTTTCTATTGCTCGTCATTTATCCAAAATTGTTCTAAATGATAGGAGGAAGCAAATTGACAGGTTAATGTCACCTCTTGCTTTCTGGGGGAGAGGGGAGCTGATTGGGGCTTCAGTGGCCATCCGGGGGTTCTTCAGTTGGGGGGCTGCCCTTGAGACTGACCCAGAAACTCCAGCGGGTGCAGAATGCAGAAAGGTTTAAGGTGCTGGTTTTAACCTTTAAAGCCCTATACGGCCTAGGACCCTCGTACCTACGGGACCGCCTCTCCTGGTATGTCCCACAGAGGATTTTACGGTCTTCAAATAAAAACATCTTGAAGGTCCCAGGCCACAGAGAGGTTAGGCTGGCCTCAACTAGAGCCAGGGCTTTTTTGGCTGTGGCTCCAATCTGGTGGAACGCTCTGTCACAAGAGACTAGGGCCCTGCGGGACTTGACATCTTTCCGCAGGGCTTGCAAGACAGAGCTGTTCCACCAGGCCTTTGGTCAGGGCACAGCCTGACTCCCTCCTTTGGCAATCTAGACCAATGGTTGCCATCAATTTGATTTGAATTAATTTTATAATGAATGATTTTAGTATGTTGTACTATTTTATTGTTGTTAGCTGCCCTGAGCCTGGCTTCGGCTGGGGAGGGCGGGGTATAAATAAAATTTATTATTATTATTATTCGGAATTCAGATAATATCATTGCTGGATTAAGTCAACAATCTGAAGGTTGAAAACAAAAGAGGGGAAGAGGAGGAGGGAAGCAATCAGCAGGCCTGAGGTCAGTGCTTCATTGTGAATTGAACATGGCAAAATGGCCTCTTTCTGCTTATGCAATAAGGGCCCAGTACTGTTAATAGCTGAACATCAGGCAGATATTTCCTCTTCCACAGCTTCATGTGCTTAGTTACTTATCTACTTATCCATTATGAGCCACTCTGAGCACAAACTAGATTGATGGCAAATAGGGAATGGAAAGGAATTCAGTTTGGTTCTGTTGTAAACAAAATCTGCCCTTTTCCCCTTATGGGGTATCCAAGAGCCCATATAGAGTCCTTACGTAGGTTCCCTATTGGTAGGAGAAAATAACAGAGGCCTGGATGAAACGGTGAAATCTGCTATGATTAAATGGGCACAAGATGTTGGACATAACATCATGTTTGCTGACTGGGAACAGTTATGGACCACAGGTATGAAGTTTACGGCATGTAATGCCCTAAGAGAGAATATTATGAAAATGATATACAGGTGGTACATAACCCCAGTCAAGCTTGCAAAAATCTACCATCTGCCCGATAATAAATGTTGGAAATGTAAAGAAACTGAAGGTACATTCTTTCACCTTTGGTGGACATGCCCAAGGATTAAGGTTTTCTGGGAGATGATTTCAAATGCATCAAAACAGGTATTTAAAGATACCTTCTTGAAGAAACCAGAGGCCTTTCTCCTGGGCGTAGTCGACCAATCGGTGTTAAAGAAGGACAAAACTTTCTTTATGTATGCTACAACAGCAGCAAGAATACTTATTGCAAAGTACTGGAAGCCACAAGATTTACCCACACTGGAGGAATGGCAGATGAAAATGATGGACTATATGGAATTGGCGGAAATGACTGGCAGAATCCGTGACCAGGGAGAAGAGTCGGTGGAAGAAGATTGGAAGAAATTTAAAGACTACTTACAGAAATATTGTAAAATTAATGAATGTTAGAATGATGACGGATTGAAGTTAAGCGGTTTCTAGCAGTAATGGTTAAAAGAATTGGAAAAATTGATTTTTAATAGGTAAAAATTTAATGTTATAATATATTATGATTAAAGATCAGGATTAAAAAGGAGGGAAAGGAATTGCTGGACTAACAAATTGAATTGGAATACAAAAGAGGGAGGTATGAGTAGGTCCGGGAAACAAGTAAACGTAAAAGAAGTGATGAAAAGACGGAATTGTTTTTAACTGTTTTTTTTTTCTTTTGTATTTTGTATTCTGTATTTTTCTTTTTATTGTTAATTTTTTTATTAATGTGATCCTTTTCTTGTGAAATTTTAATAAATATCATTTTAAAAAAAAGAAAGAAAGAAAATAACAGAGGCCAACCAGAGAATATTGAGAAGCAAAGCAGCTAGTAAGCCTGATCTTTATTGAACTGTTGCAACAGGGTCCTCACTCACCACACACAGGAGGGAGGAGGAACCCAGAACAATGGCGCGCAAGGCCTTATATAGACATTTTGAAATTGCCACCCTGTAGATCAAGACCACCCCCAGAAACATCATACATACATCACACAAGGGGTGTAGTTCTGTAGCACCCTGCTTGTGGTTAACACTTAGCTGGAATGAAATATTCAACGCAGCAATAGAGAAATTAAAATAATAATTTATTTGTCAGACAAATAAATGAGAGACACAGTGGTATATGGATACCAAAGCTCTGCCCACTCCAGCCCTGATGGCCAGCACTTATATTTCCTCAGCCCAGCCCCCTTGCTCCTCCTTTGGCTGCCTCTGTCCAATCAGCCTGGTTGAAATTCCTATTGGTTGATTGCTAGAACCAATCATAAAAGATACACCCATTTCCTATTACCTTTTATGGGAGACAAAGAGCTATATTTCCTTCTATCCATAAATGGCAGACAAGTAGCCATATATCTTACATTTGCCTCGACCAGGCACCTTAATTATCAGATCATCTTTGCCCTATTGCCCTTTCACTCCAAAACAGATGGCTAAAACAGATGGCTTATCTTAAACAGAGATCTTGGGTTCACCTTCTCACACACCATCAATGAAATAAGAATCTAACATTTCTTACTTTCTAAATCCTTTGCATAATTACATTTAAGCCAATATATTTCATACATAACATAGATAGATTTTTAGAAGGAAAGGAACTTAGTAAAAACAATTTCCAAAAGCAACCTCTTAAATTTACAACTCCCCTTTCAAGCCAGCTGCTGTTTCTAAAAGCAACTTCTTCAATTTACAACTCCCTTTCAAGCCAGCTGCTCTTTCTATTAGCTCTTGCCCTTTTAACCTTAGGAAGATGTGGCTCAAGTCTAATGGGAGGCACATGGTATTACAATAAATTTTACTATTTACCAACTCTTAATTAGTGTGTTTTTTTTGCAGCTTGATTGTATTCTGTAATTTGTATGGTCAGTGTGACCTTTTGCTCCCAGCCTGTAATTTCCTTTTACAACCCTGAAGTACTGCTATAGATCAGAGGGGCCCTGTTTAGGAAGATAAACATCTGCCAAAGTACTTAGCCAGCTGGTTTCTGCCTGGCATGAGAGATACAAACATTTGCAAATATATTTTTAAAGCTCATTTTAAAATGCAGGCCTTGATCTGATGCCTCAGTTCAAGACCACCACCCCAGATATATCATACCTACATCACAGAAAAGGCGATCTAAATCAGAAATTTCAATGTTGTTTTTCTCCTGCCGTTGTTTATCACCTGTCTGGCAGGTTACTTGATTGGATACCCTGCTTACTTGATTGGATACCCTGGGGAGCCTGGCCAGTCTTTTGTAATGATAAATACTTAGTAATGGTAAATACTTAGTTCCTGAGTCAGGTCACAGGCTCACACTATTCAAACACAGATATACCCTTAAGACAGGATTTGAGAAGGAAAAGTCAATGGGGAGGCTTTTCCATTTTCCTTTGACCTTGCAGAGAAAACATTTGGTCAGTTTGGAACAGTTTGGGAATCAAAAATGGTTCCAGGTCAGTCTTCCTGTGCTGATCTATGTACGTGGTTGGTTGGTACACTTATGAACATTTAACATATATCTAAGACCTCAAAATTCCTATCACAGTTTGTATTTTAATGCAAAACCACTTGATTTCTGCTTCCCGAAACAATATGTGAAATAAGATGCAGCTACCCTTTCAAATCCACACTCCTCTGAATTTTGCAGAAGCAGTTCTCCCTCCTAAAAATGTACAAAATGAACATACTAGGGGAAAGTATTTATAAAGATGCATAAGTTAGTGAAGCTATATACAAAAAATGCTTTAAATTAAGGGCATTGGGAAGAACTGCATACAACAAGGTGCATATTTAGAAGTAATGCAAACTAAAAGGCTGAAGAATCTTCCTCGGGACTTAAAAAAAAAAATTCAAACAGAGAATATATATACCCTCCCCTTGTCAGGGCACAGTGGGAGTGTCTCTCACAGAGTTCTCTCTAGAAAATTTATAGGAAAACTGTGAGCTTCAGCTCCTATCATGTGCCTTTCTAGCAAAACATAAATTGTTGGTTTTGACTGCAGTTTAAATATCCAACACCAAGGTTTCATAGCTGAGTGGGGATTTGAACCCTGGTCTCCCAAGTCCTAGTCCAGCACTTTAACCATTACACCATATTGGCTCTATACTGCACAAGTTGGTCAATGGTTTAAGTGACATGGAATCATACAGAGTTCATCATATATCCCACTGGTCATGTGATTGCTCCATCTGCTTGATACTCAGTGCATGTTGACTCTATCACCATCAATCCTTTTATAGCTCCATCATTTCCATCTGGTTGCAGTCTGAGAGAACAGGATGCTGGACTGGATGAGTCATTCTTTTGACTCAATACGATCTTTTTGGTCAGACAACAAACACTGACTGCCATCACTATGTGTGGCACGATGGCTAAACTGTCACCTGTCTGGTGTACAAATTGCCACAGGTGCCTTCCACATAGAAACATACTAATCTGCCTCATACTGATTCAGGTCACTGGTCTTTCTAGCTTAGTATTGTCTACACTGACTGGCAGGGGTCTCTCCCAGACCGATCTGTAAATGGACCATGGGAACTTCTGCATGCAAAGCAGTTGCTCTGTCTCCAAGCCAGAGTCCTTCACAGCCTTTTGAGGTATGACAAGTGCGGAGATATCACCAGAAAGCATGACAGGCATTGGTGGTAATAGGGTTCAGCTGGTTCAGGTGAGGTCACAACCATAAAGAAAATGCACAGTTTTCACAGATGCCTAGATATGTCCCAAACTCCCATGAAATAACCACTACAAAAGTCATGGAAGGGCCATAGCCTGAGACGTCAACTTGAACGGAAGATTGGGGGGCTGATGACATTCGGGGTGGAGCCGAGTGCAACACTGGAGAGCTGCTGTGAGTCAGTGTAGATAACACAGAGCTAGGTGGACCAATGGTTTGACTCAGCATAAGGCATCTTCCTATGCTCCTAACAATCAAATAAAGAAAATCAGTCAAAATCAGTATTTGGAAAACCAACCATAAAATTCAGCAGAACAGATAAAACCTATAACCAGCTTGCAGATACCAGGTTGAGACAAAATTTAAAAGGTATTCATCTGCTGCTAAGTGACACCAGAGTCAGTGCTGTCCTCTGGAACAGCACCCCACTATGACTAAAAAGACCTTCTCTGAAGTGAACACCTGCCTAACTGCAGGTGGGGAGAGGCAAATCTGAGAAGGGTCCCTCAAGGTTCAGGCAGTGTCAGGAATTGCGGACACATTTATGTGAGGTTGCCCTTTTGTGGTGATTCATCAAACTGCAAGTGGCAGTCTTCATAGTGAAAAACCTTTTGGACTGACTCTGTTCACCTAGGTCCTGGGTTTTTTGGGGGGGGGGGTAGGAAGGAGCAGAAATGGCTTCCTTTTCAAGCTCAGACTTGCTTGAGCAAAATGATCCTTCCAGTGCTTTTCTTCTAGAAAACTGCTGCTGGTACTTACAATGAAGTTGTTACAGTTACGTGCCACACTTTTAATCAGTGCCCTTCGTCTAGGAATAAAAGGTGCCAGTACTTTGTACCCTTGAGTACCCCCGGGGGGGGGGAAGCACTGATCCTTCTGAGCTCTGGAGTGTTTCTGTATTCTGATTGATTTCTCCTGTCTTATTCTCACAATCCAAAGGAGAAGTCCTTGATTTCATCCCCTAAGAAGAAGAATCTGATTGCATGAGCATGACTCTGAGGCTGATGGGAGTAGGAGTAAAGGGTGCAGTTTTCCCATCCCTGACATACATTCACATCAAAGAAAATCGAGAGAGAGAGAGAGAGAGAGAGAGAGAGAGAGAGAGAGAGAGAGAAACTGAGACTGCTTTATTGCAATGCAGTATTTAATCAGTGCACATTAGCAAGGTGGAGAGAGCCCTGGTGGATCAGATCAGCTAGTCTAGCATCCTGTTTCCCACAGGAGCCAATCAGATGTATCTGGAGAGCCCATAAGCCGGACACCCTTTCTCTGTGTCCCAAATTGTGATGTGGAGAAAGTGGAAAGAGAAAAGTTTTCCTCCCCTTCTCTAATACTAGAAAATGAGATCACCTAGCAGGGCTGAAGGGTGGGAGGCTCAGAATCAGCAAATGGAAGGACTTCTTCACAAAACATGTAGATAAGCTAT